TTGTCCTCTCAAATCCTGCAGAAACATGCATATATTCAATACATATATTTAGTAGTATATTGGAGTACACATTATCTCAGACTCAGGTCAGTCTTAATTAATATTATAGTTTTAGCAGCTAGTCACTATACTCCAATGAAATGCCATATCGAAAGCGTTTTAGTAATTGTACTGCGTGTTTCCGGTGGCAAAACGCCACTGGTATAATGATCCGTGTGGATGGCGTTGGAAAAAAGTTGAAGCTTTATATATAGCTGATACAAAGTATTTTCCATATCCTTATTGATCTTTAACATTTTAGCACATGCATGGTAGTGCAATTAGAACTTTCAAAAGCAGCGAGAAACAGAAGAAAAATTTAACGTATTCTATTGCCACTTTGGCTCAAGTGTTTCAGGCGCGGAGGGTCTTGTGGGAAGAGCCTACTTGTTTTCCACTCTTAATGATATGGGAAATATATTATGTGTTTGGATGTATCGCGAGTTTCTTGTCTGAATCGATTGAGACGAGTTATCCAGCCTTAGTCTTAAACGGAAAACCGTCTTCTTATGCTAATTAATTTATTCCTGAAGAAATTCAACAAAGTTATAAAAGGATACAAATAAATTATAAATACAAAAATCAAAATAGATTAATAGAACTATATTACATAAAGATACCTAATTAGTTGATTGTAACAAATCAAAAGCTGCTAAGATATTTTCAAAATATTTTCATTCTGCATAGTAATAACAGAACGACATTATTAACATCTGATCTAATGATTAATGCCATAAAACGAATTATTAATTTAATTTATATAAGCTATCGATGATATTATGTCTAACAGGAGTTGCAAAGACTGCATTTCTACAGTACAGTATATGACATGAGTATATTGTTATTCATTTCCAACTTGATTCCGATCACAATGTTTACACATTCCATCACAGTAAGGAATATTGCTATATCGTCATCGATCAGTTTGAATGAATTAAAATTCCTTATTTTGTGACAGCTATAGCTTGGTGGTATACAGTATAGGCCTAATCATTATAAATTTACAGAAGGTATTTTTCGAAAAAATTTTGATTTTGCTAAATATTTTTAATTTCTTCATTTTGTTGAATCTGGTTTTTATAATACTTAGGTCTTAGTAACTATTCATGACTAGTGTAGTTTTTTTAGGAACAGTGGAGGCTCAATCGATGATACCACTCGTGCCGAGGCACTTTAAATTAATAAACAATACTTAATAAACAATATATTCATCAACAACAGGAATACCAGTTTTGGTACACATGAATACATAGTCATGATCAGATACAAATTACATTATATCAGCAATGATACCTGCTTTTCAACAATTGGCCTACCAAGAAGTCATAACAGTGTTTGGTAAGTAATCCGTATGATGACGGGACATGAATCTATATCCTGATGACGGCAAAGTGAGGGCGCTGACATTAAATCCGCGTCTGCACGAAAACAACAAAATGGCTCCCAAATTTGAAAAGCAATTTCTCCGTTAATATTTGGGTTGAGCCAATTTAGAAACACTCTAATAAAAAAAGATAGAATCTTTTAATAAATTCATTTTAGCCCAATTTGTTTCGGGTCTGGAGTTCCCCTTCAAACTATTCAGCTGGCATTCATGACTAATACTATACTGTAACAGGCTTAGCTACAAGTGTCAATACTCACAATGCATAATGCTGTATGTGAACCTAACGATTAAACAGTGACTAACGAATTTTCATTTTAATCTGTAGACGATAAATTCAACGAAAAACGTAGTTCAGAGCAGGAACTGCCAAAGCATTACTTAAAGAAATGCCAGGAGTTGTTCCGCAAACAGAATCGCGATGAATCGAGAAACAAAGTTCGTCGTTTATTTTCTGAAGGCGTTGTTCTGTTGGTGAATAGCTGTTCTGGACCATCCAGTGATTCTGTGCAGTCAGCTTGTTTCAAGCTTCTCTACTTAGCTGATCTGTTTTACAAGAGGTTCAAGTTGATAATAGTTGATGATAAAGAACTAGTAAGCTATTCACTATTTTTAATTATTGTTTGTCTGGCCCTATATTTATTATACATTCTCCGGCAGAACACCCTGGTTGAAAATTTCTTGATTTAATCAAGAAATTTTCAACCAGGGTGTTCTGCCGGAGAATGTATAATAATCTAAAATAAACACTGTTTGGGATAACTTAATATTCCTGGTTTAATGTCCATGCATGCTAATTTAACCACTGTCCTGGTTAATTTGACTACGTTTGTATCGTGGATAAATTAACAAGGATTCCTGGTTAATTGAACCAGGCCATGTGATTGAATTAACCTGGCAGATTATATTTATGAAATTTTTTGCCATGCAGGGTGTTTTTAGAACGTACGTATACCAATATCCAGTCAACTTTATCAAACCTTTTCCAAGGGAAAATGTGTAAAACAGTGCATGGCGGAAATGACGAATTTTCGGCGTTTCGGGCATGGGAAAAAACTGGCAGAGGAAATGACGAATTTTCGGAAATTTTGACCTAAAAGAGAGCTAAAACCAGCCTTTTCGAGTGCAAATAGGGGGGTTTGTCGGAAATTTGAAAGTTTTGTCGGAAATTTAGGAGGCTTTGCCCCCCATCGGACAGAGTGAATTTCCGCCACTGGTGTAAAACATCGCATTGAGTTCTGTTCAGTTACGCTATATATTCATTCTCATATCATCATTATTTTTAAGCTGGATATCAAGCCTTATTTACATAATGGTAAATTTTCGGCTCGTGATAATCGTAGACGAAAGCCAGTTACTCAGAGGCGAAGAAGTTCAGTACCAGTTGAATTCCAACAGCAATTATATCACAGACGTGGCTCACGTGAAGTTATTGAATATCACGTACGACTGTGCATGTCATTTATACTTGGAGTTTTTACAACTCTGCTGGGGATTATATTTGGACGTGGCGGCGAGCATTTAAATGAAAACAACGAAGATGGATTGGAAGGCGATTTATCGGATTAAGTTGATTAGGTTGAAGATGGCTCCATAATATAGGTTTCTCTTAATGTGTAGCAAGTTCCCGCGACTAGTCCCTGCGACTTTTCCGCCTCGTGTGACCGAACATTTAACCCAAATTAGATTAATGAGTAAAGGAGGATAGTATAGGGGAAGAGAGAGCAAATTAGATTAGTGAGAAAAGTAAGCATGAATTAGATTAGTGAATAATTGATTTGAAGAAAAAAGAAAAATTAAAAAAAAAAAAAAATTAAGAAGGGAGGATCGGACACACATTCTTAAACATGAATTATTTTTTCAAGAAAGATGTTGTTTAATTAAAACAAAATTAAAGCTAGAAGCTGATCTAGCTAGTGTTTGGTATGGTGCCAGAAAGAATTAAAAATTAAACGGAACTATAATAATTAAGAAAAGAAGAATAAAACGGTCGAATTAAACGACGGAAGATTAGTCGAGTTGAGAAGTAAAACGCATTTTACTGACTAAAAATGTTATGCGCTAACAATGGTTTCAATGTACAGTAAGTTAAAATGTTTTGAAATTAAAATTATACATGAAGAAACCTAAACAATGCACGAGATAAATAAATGATAAGTGTACAAAACGTAACAAGTATATATAGTATTAAAGTACGCAAAAACGAAAAAGTGCAAAACTTTAAACAGAAGATAAAAATGACAATTGATGATGTTAAATATTGATATAATGATTGGCAAATACAAATGGCAATTGATGTCCAAAAATAAGTACCAATCGAATGTTTTTCAGTGAAGATGTGACAATCGCATTACGATGTCGATGACAAGTTGATAAATTACGAGTAATATTTATTGATAACGTCAACAAAACAACCTCGAACTTAAGTTAAAGTAAAGGTTACAAAATGTTAAAATAAACGGATATGCATGTGAGCATGTATGTGTTAAAATAAATACGGGACGTTCCCAATCAAGACAAAGTGTCTTAAAGATGAACCGAATGGGTTAACAAAGTTAAATTAATTGAATTTATTAAAAAAACCCGCGAAAGTGAGCGAAGAATAAGTTAAACAAATACAAGTGTAGCAATCGATGTATAAAATAATTGAAAAGTACAAAGAGACGCTAAAAAATGAAAAATGAAAAAGTACAATAATCAATAAAAATTGTTGAGCAAAACTTTACAAAGATGAAATTTAAAAATTGAATATAAAAGTTAAATGACAGGAAGTTTGTTGTTTAAGATAACGAAAAAAGCCAAAGTAAACTTGAATTTGATACAGTGGATTATTTATTATTATAATATTGAGTAAAATATTCCCGAAAGTGTCAGAATAATGTAATTTGAGTTGAGAAATAGAAATTGAAATAAGTGTTGTTTCATAAGAATTTGTGCACTATAGAGCAGCTAGTGTATACGTAATATTGAAAAAAGTTTAATTATTGCATCTGCATGTAGTTAAGTAGATAATTACGTGTTTTATAAAAAAACAAAAAAACCGCGCAACCGAAGCCACAGACCGAATATGTGAATATTTTTTATATAAAATAGTATTGTAATACGAATACTCAATTTGGTCGAATTGTGACTGTATTTCAACTTCTTCAAAGTAGATAAACCTGCTAATTGTTGAATTGTTGTAATTAGGCCTACTACGAAAGTGGAATGTAACTATATAAGCCTGCTGAATTGTTGTAAAGTATTACGATTAAAATGAGATGCAATTTTTTACATGTGTATTTTGCAAATTAAATCTTAACACGTCAATTTCTTTCTTGAGTGGCACCATATACTCAACCAGGGGCGTAGGAAGCATCTAAAAGCTGGGGGGGGGAGGCTTCGAGGGGCACTTTTCGATTGAAAAGGGCACCTAAAAATGTTTTCCCGGAAATGTTGGCAACGGGGGGAGGGTCATCTCAAAAAAATTTTCCGGACATATCACATTTTTTCCAGAAAATGACAAAAATTTTCCGGACGTACTAAAAAAATTTCCAGAGATATCAGATTTTTTCCCGAAAATCACAAAATTTTTCCGGACATATCAAAATTATACCCGAAAATAACAGAATTTTTCAGAAAATGCCAAAATACAAAAGCACATTCAATCATAAATCAAAGGCCGTGCATTGGGCAAAAAATGCAATCTAAACGACATTTTTCACGGAGGTAAAGGGAACTTTGCTCCCGGAGAAAGGGCACTTTTAAAAGGTTGGGAGGGGGGGGGGGGGCACGTGCTCCCCCTTCCTACGCCACTGCACTCAACAGTAATAGTTTCTCTTTACATTGGCATTGTGTACTATATAGAGAGGATAAAATTTGACTTCCAACACCAACCACTGTATACGACTACTTCTCACTAGCTTAGTATTTTTTTTTTTTAAGCGCAATAAATAGCTTAGTATATACGCATCTGATTGTTTAATCCGATTATCAAACACATCTGATTGGTTAGCATGCAGCCCCTTTTTGGAAATCAAATCTGAATCGATCTCTTATATATCAACAAATTTCTTTATTGTTTTCCCCTTTTATTACAGGCTGGGCCTCTGGCTATAACAGGGTTCGTAGTCTCCAAGACCAAAAAAAATTTAAAGACTTTCAAAGATTTTTTCTGCCTATTGTCAAAGACTTTTCAAAGACCTTTGAGAGCAATCAGGTGTCGAAAAATTGCGAGTGTATAAGCACCATTTTTACCAGGTAATTAGTCCCGTCAAATCACATCCTAAAATGCACTTTTTCGTCGAAATTTGCGAAAATCGTGCTTCAATCAATCTATTTTATTAGCTGGGAAATCGTATAATCAAATAATCACTAAGGAATTTAAAGACTTTCTTCGCTTTTTCACACAATTCAAAGACTAGTCAAAGACCTGAAAGACCTGCATTCAAATTTAAAGACTTTCAAGGATTTGAAAGACCGCTACGAACCCTGTATATTCACCTAACATAGCCTGGTTAATTTAGTTAACCAGGAAGTCCTAGCCTGGTCAAATATAACCAGATTCCTGGTTTATAAAAATAACCAGACTATGGTAGAAAATGAGATTAACGGCAGAAATATTAAATCAAATTAACTCAAATAGGGTTATTTCTAGGTTAACCAGGAAGTTTAACCCGTAATTGTAACGAGTGTTTTTATTAGCCACTCCGCAGTTGATGAGTGGACTGGGGACGAGTGTTAAAAAGTGTCCAAATTAAGAAATGAACCAAATCACTAAGAAGACCAGCTCAAAATTAGTAAGTATACAAAGTTTGAAGACGTTTACAAGAATATCCTTCGAATAATAAACTTTCGAAAATGGTGATATTTACTATGAAATGTATTGTAATTTTTGTTTTTGGGACGCGCGTCCCAAAAACAATCTTTTAATCAGTAATTTAACAATTTTCGGAAGCTTATTATTCGACGTGTATTCATGTAAGAGTGTTTGCATGTGAGTGACGTCATAAAAATTCTAAAAGCTTAAGCGTTTAACATGTATAGTTGCCCATTTTATATATCTTGTATATCCTTACTACAAGTATTCCTAGCAAATTTCAAGTCGATACAGTAATTCATTCGCAAGTTAAAGGTAAGGGGCTTGAATAATTTATATTGCTGACGTCAGCATTATTTTGAAAGGCCGTTATAAGCTACGCGGTTTTCCAAACCTAAGTTGAAATAGTTCGGTGGGCTTTCAAAAGCTTTATATACTTAACATCAAACACAATTATGGACCTGTGTGATAAAATATATCTTTCCTTGGGCATTTACTACACGGCCGCCATGTTGGTGGTCTGAGATTGCGTAATATTGGACCACCAACATGGCGGCCGTGTAGTAAATGCTCAAGAAAAGTTATATTAATTTTATCACACAGGTCCACAATTATGATTGATATTAATTATATAAGACTTTTGAAAGCCCGCCGAAATATTTCGACTTATGTTTGGAAAACCGCGTAGCTTATAACGGCCTTTCAAAATAATGCTGACGTCAGCAATATAAATTATTCAAGCCTTTAACTCGCGAAGGAATTACTGTATCGACTTGAAATTTGCCAGGAATACTTGTAGTAAGGATATACAAAATATATAAAATGGGCAACTATATATGTTAAACGCTTAAGCTTTTAGCAATTTTATGACGTTACATGCAAACACTCTAGTCATTTGGTTCATTTCTTAATTTGGGCACTTTTTAACACTCGTCCCCAGTCCTCTCATCAACTTCGGAATGGCTAATAAAGAGCGTGATGATAATGGTCCTCGAGTCCTGCCATGCAACTGCGCTCTCTCTCCTCCGCAGAGGCTTTTAAAGGATTAACTTAGAAATAATTTCGTAATTATATATATGCTACAAGGTAAAAAAATGAATTGGAAGTTCTAAATTGTTCTTAGCTGGATAACCCCTGTTTCATGCAGTTGTTGGTACTACAAATTCCATTCACACTGTCACAGGGGATGTCAGCATATACTTGAACCACACTTTCTATTTACAATTAATACAATTTTGTAATACAATTTTGACAACAAAATAAATTAATCTATACAGTGTGTCATTTATAGCGAGTTCATCGAGAAAGGTTCAACATGGGAGCGAAATTTTTAAATTTTATTTTCAGGAGTTTTTAAATTTTACTTCTAGTTAACCGTCTCCTGTCGGTGGAGATATTAGATAGCTTAAGATCCACGACGTTGACGTCAGCTAGGACGTCAGGGCTAAGCAGAGGACTGGGACTAGGATGTCGTCCTAAATAAAAAGATAGCTAAATATCTACGCGTCAAATATTTAGGGCGACAAGCGGACTAAAATTGGTAATAGTTTTTGAAGTGTGCATGTGTCTCTCTCAATTTGCTCGTCGTCCACCAAACGTCGACAACCTCACAACAAGAGTTATACCGTCGTGGATACAAGAACATAACAAACGGTAATGAATTCATGTGTCTCTTTAGAATTCATTTTCAAAAGAATGTAAATATTTATAGTTTAAACGTAGACGTCGTGAATCTTAAGAGGAAATTTATTTATTTAGGACGACGTCCTTGTTTCGGTCCTCTGCTTAGCCCTGACGGTCCTAGCTGACGTCGACGTCGTAGATCTTAAGCTATCTATTATAGAGAGCTTTTGATCTACGACGTGGCTAAAGTCGACCGGATGTACGCCCGTATTCTAAAAGTTCACTCACACTCAATAGCCGTTTTCACATTAGAAGACGGACAAGTCGTCCAGACGAACAAATCGTCCCAAAATCGTCTTTTAGTCGGACAAATCATCAGATATGAAAACGTGTCGGACAAAATTTTAGACGAACAAGTCGTCTGAATTTGTTCGACTACTTGTCCGTCTGTGCATAGTTAATATAGTCTGTGAAGACGATTTTTGAGAGACGATTTGTTCGTCTAGACGACTTGTCCGTCTCTAATCTGAATAGGGCTAATGAGTGGAGGTTCAATCTGAGCTTCTCTTGAGTGTCAATCCTGTATTTGAATGGCTGGAGGGTGAGTAATCACATAGTAACGTACGAGACTATAGCCCTCCAGCTATTCAAAAACAACAATAACACTCGATCGACTGACTCGAGAGAAGCTCAGATTGAACTTCCACGCATTGAGAGTGAGTGAGCTTTTAGAATACGGGTAGTAGTCACAATTATTTAAAAATTCGTCAAAATGACACGTAACGCATCTAGCCTCGCAATAATAAGCTTTCAGCCTTTCACGTTACTGAAAGACGTGATAATTCTTAAAGCTAATTAATTAAAGAGTGACCACGCTGTTGAGGATATTACCCCTGGAACCACAAATTATTCCATACCTTTTGTACGTCTTGCACGAACAATTTCTTTGTTTTTAAGGCGCGTCGAATTGGTACGTCGTTGACTCAGTGCCTTTTTTAAGGAATTTTCACGGGGGGCAAAACAGAGAAAAAGGCAGAACGAAAAATATGAGCCGTCGAGGTTTGGCGAACCCGCGAGTCTGAAGAGAGATTTTGTAAAACTTTAATTTATTAACTTCTGCTATATTTTACTTTAAACAATAACTTCAACTCTTTGTAGCTATAATCGTACAGCTATAACCAGTGGCGTAGCCACCCCTTAATTTTTGCGGGGAGGGGGGCTAGGAGGGTCCGTGGTCCGGAAAATTTTGAAATCTAGGGTCCCTGAAATGCGATTTCATGCATTTAAATCATTTTAGGTTCTATGAGACACCATTTCCGCATTCTCAAAATTGCGTTGCTTTTTCATACGATACAGAATAAGTCTGAGAAGAAATATTCATGCTATGATGATACATACATGTATTTAACAGTTAAAAATCTAAACTAAATCTATTCTTCTTGGAACCATATCTACAACTGCTTTAACGAGATTTCACAAATCAAGTTCCTCCAGTATATCGAGATTTCACAAATCAAGTTCCTCAGTCGAGACGTACTTAATCAGTTTCCGCTTCGAGCATGTAACGTGTACCCCTCCCTCCCCCCCCCTCAATTTCTCTACGGATTTAGCCTTTCTGAGAGAATGGCTTTTGTGGCGATTGGGGGGGGG